TATGGAGGTTTACCTGTTCATCTTTGCTATTTTTTTCTGTTTTCCTGTTCTTTTTTTTTTCTTTCTTGCATAGTGTATTTGACCTCATAACAATTTTAAAACAAATACTATGAAAGCTATTTAAACCATTAAGTTATAGGGTTGTAAAAAAAAATTAAGTAGCTTGCAACAGAGCATAACAAGTATTCGTAAATATTGTGATTATTATGATACAAACAACAATAGTAATAGTGACCTCCACCCTCCTGTACATCTATGACAAAGTAAAAAGAAAAAAAGTATTACCCTTACTGCAGATTTGAGTATTTTTTTAAAGTGAAATGGTCTTTCTGAAGTGAAAATACTTGTCACTTTACAAAAATTAAAATATGTTGTGTTTTAATAAAGGAAAACCAAAAACTGAAGTCCTACAATCTAATTTATTCAGTCTTACCTTGTACAAAATTAGCCAGGAGACGGCAGCATAATAAAAATAAATAGAAAGTCCCATTGTCCTTCAGCAGAATTCAGACAGCATTCTTCATTCTGTCGCTTGTGCAGAGATCTCGCGTAAGTGAAAGGGGTTAAACATTAACGTGAATGTTTTCATTTAAGACTTCATCTGGTTTCCCGCAATGCTTAGCATTTATTCTGCAGTAATGCTGTTTAGCTTCAGAAATGTCCTCTGCTTCACAGTTATGGGAGAAAACTTGAGCTTCTCCAAATTTCTGTTGCCATTCTTTCTGAGACAGCCTTTAAAGGACTGAAATCAGACTTTCAAATATGTGGAGTACATTACTGATGATTATAAATAGTATTGCTTTACCTCAGAGACTTTAACCTCTGCACTGCTAACGGAGCATGCTGGATGATGAGAACTGGAAAGGAAACGAATTCTCTCCTCCTCCTCCTCCTCCTCCTCCTCCTCCCCCGGTTCTTAACTGTTTGCCTGCTGAAACTTTCCAATTTGCAGCAAAGAAGTATAGCAGAGAATTGCCTCTGGTCATTTTTAGTAGCTGGAAGATTAAAAGATAATAAATGAAATATCTCCTTCTGAAACTGAATGGTTTACTGCGTTACTACTTTTATAAAGGTTCTTGGGGGTTTTAATAAGTGAAAAGTTAACAGCTTACATTCATTGGAATTAGGAAGCTTTGGGGTTCTAGAAATGAGTAAGAAGGCTGGTGTATTTTGGACACATTCAGATAAAAATAGCATGTTGGTCGGGAATAAACAGAGAAAACCTCGAAGTAAATTAAGGCACAGCTGCAGGTATGGCAGATACAAAATTATCATTGACTTTAAGGGAAGCTCTGTAAACAGAGGCTTTGCTTGGGCAGTATTTTTGTAGTAGGTACTACAACTTCTGAGTGAAAGTTCACATTCTGTGAATTAGTATGTAGGAGACTTTCTACTCTTCCCAAGTTATCATTTACTCTTTGCCCCATTGTATGTTTGAGTAGGGTGGCAGTGTCGAAAATTGTGTTCATCAAATCTTACACTACCGAACTTCTAATGAATAAACCTCGGGAAGAGTATCTCACTTAAAACATTGTTTTTAGTTAACTGTTACAAGAGATAATAATCTTTAATACATGAGCTTGTGTGGCTGGTAAATGAACGGTGATGTGGTCCTTGGTTGAATAGGATGTCTGTTCAATCCTCTTTCTAAATACTACCCTGTTTAAAGAGGGACAGTCAGGTTTTGGTCATACATGTTCCATAATCTGGTGGGAATTGTTTTGGAAAAGTATTCATGTCTTTATGCATTTCTTAGTAATGGTCATATTTAGGAGGACTGCGGGAGTTAACTTACTGTTTATAACTTGGGAAAAAGGTTTCAGGTTTCTCATAGGACATTAAACTGTAACATTGATGTAAACATTCAGATACGAAAACGTATTTGCCTGCTGTTTATTTGTATTGTATTAAGACTGGAGTAGTCATGGATGGAACTAAATCTTAGATGCTGTACAAAAAAAAAAAATCACTCTGTCAAAAGTAGTTTACAGTAAGAAGTACAGTACAACCATTGTCTTATGCAGCTGAAACTTAAGAAGAAACTATAAACTTTAGAATTCAGGAAATCATCTTAAACTAAGATTTCATTATTACTAAAAAAACCTCTTGTATTTTATTCTCTAAGAAAGATAAGAAGCTATCCTACTGTAAAGTTGATTTTTTGTGTGTGTGTATGTATGTATATACACTTGGGATATGTAGGGTATATAAATTTATGAGTATCAGACTTTGAAGGCTTTTTGATCATACTTGCACACCCTTTAAATAATTCCTTGGTGCAAGCATATTAAGCCATTTAGATACAGTTTTGAACATGCTTTTATAATTGGACCCTGAAAGGGCTTTTAGACAAAAATCAAGCTGCTTGTCCAGCGTCTCCTTCAGTTAACATCCCACTCTTCTGCAATTACAGATTGAATCTTGCATTCAGATGTGTAAGCTGCTGTTCTAATGCTTTTGTCTGTTTCGGAATAGTTTTCCAGTTCAATCTTATTTAGGAATGTTTTCTATTCAAGGTGCTGCAAAAACATCAAGGCACTACAGCAAGTAGCTTCAAATGTATTTAAAGTTCCAGTATAAACAAGGTACAGCAAGGGAGACCTTGTGATAATCATAAAACAAAAATCTGCCCCAGAAGACCTTAATCTGAAGGAACAATCTTTCTGAATTTGCAAAACTGAAATTTCTCTCTGCTATCTCAGCATTTCAAAACGTTGTGATAAAAATCTTTCCTTTTTTGCATAAAGGGATAGTGAGCTTTTTAAAAAATCAGAATTAAAGCTTTGCATCCAACAGTTTCAAAAATTAAATCATATTTGATGCACGTGTATGATGGAACAAATCGTACCTACTGGAGTTAGTGAAACCTGGGAAGGTGGAGTGGGTTCTATGCCTGTAACTTGCTGTACTTGAAGTATGTTTAGAAGGATTTGGTCTCTGTAATATAATCTGGCTGTTGTCATGGCAAAAAAATTGTTTCAGTAAATGGAAAGAGGACACTGTCTTTATTTCCCTGTCTCTTGTAAATACTTTTCATTTAGAACAGTTCCACCTGTGTTTTCCAGATGGGAACCTGGGAACCTGGATTTGCTTGCTTTTCAAAATGCAACATTTATTGAAATTAGAGTCCTTTGACATAAACTTTTACTTGGAGGAGATTTCCACTTACTTTTGTATGCTTAACAGAATATGTTTTAAAAGATTATTGCAGAAATTACTTTTTAAATCACTAGCCTGGAGGAGGGTGCCGGTCTTTCATGCTGTATTTGGAAAATACCCCACTAGAAATGAATGTGTAGGACTTCTTTAGAATCAAGACAGCTGCCAGTCACAACTGCCTCAGTATGAAGACTGATGGTCTGTCTTGATTTTCTAGACTTCTCACTCGCAAGTGTCTGAGATCATACCAGGCTGGTATTTCTAACACTAGCTCATTGAGTAGCAATGGAAAAATTTGGGCTACTCACCCATTTCTTGTGTGTGACTTATTATTCTGCCTGACTTACTTAATATGCATCTCTATAACCCTTGCTTCTCCTTCATAATTTTTCTGACCACTTGTGTTCAGATTTATTTTTTAAACTGTGTTCATCACTTGAGCAGCCTGTAGTCAAAGTACTGTCCATATGTCCTTTCATTTGTTTAATTCCTACTGCAAATACATGAGTAACCTTTCTAAACCTTTGTTTAGAAAACAGAAGAGTAATGACAAAGGCAGGATTATAAACTAGTCTTGCAGATTAACAGAAAGCTTCTGGATTTAACAAAATAACAAAAAAAAAAAAAAGGAAATTGAGATCTTAGAAAAGAAAACATCATAGTCAATGTGCTGGCTTCACCAGATGATTGAAAATGCGCGCAGTGAAACATCTGTGTCTTCAACCAGAAAACAAATGTGGAATTACATGAAGCACATTACATGCATTATCCAGATTAATTTACAAATGTACTTTGAAACTTGGTAGTGTTTAATAAATCAGATGAAGGACAATGAGAAGGCAAGGCTGGATTAATGAATAATGCTGCTTTTGTGACCCCTTTTTATCCCCATAGTAATTTAAAAAATAAAAAATAATAATAATTTAAAAAAAAAAACCCAACCAAACAAAAAAAACCAACAGCAACAAAAAAAAAACCAAAGCAAGTTTTCCTGTCTAGCTGCTGGGGAGAAAAGTTCCCTGATGCTGTCTGTCCTACATGTAGAGGAATAACACTGTTGGTGGTGTTCCTAGTCAGTGTAAAGGAACTGCTCCTATCAGTTGTTGTTTCTTGTATTACTACATAGAAAGACAAATTCTAGAGCAGAGTGGCATAATGCTTAGATCTTAATCAAATGCATTCATAACTAAAAAAGTCAGAAAGTACCTTAGTGTTTTTGGTTTTAGCTATGGGGTTCAGAAAATTGAGTAGATTCTAGTTAGGACTACTTTGTTTAATCTAGTCACTGTACATTTTATGCTAGTAAAACAAGGAACCCATGAACAGGAAATACACAATGAGACCTTTAAAGAAGAAGAAACAGAATTAGTTAAGAGTGTTGTTTATAAGGGACTGATAGTGAAATAAATACACAATTTCCATAGCCCTATTACACGGAATAGGGCTTTGAAAAAGAACAGAGTATTTTCGTATTTCTGAAATTTTTTTATAATTTGCTGTGCAGATTGGTATGCAAGCTGCTTTTAAATGCGGTTATCAAAAGTTCATGATTCACTGGCAAGATGAGTATTTATTCTCCTTCTTGTGAAGAGGGATGCTGTCAATCAGTATTATTTTGCTGAGTGGTAAAAACAACTGAGATTTTCCCTTTGACATTTTAGGTAAGAAGATGTATTAGACAGTATTAAAAGAGAAAGAGCTATTGGAAAAGACACAGTGGCAAGGGGAAGGATTGGAGAGCTCCTTGGAGAGCTTAAACACAGTATTAATTCTAACAAAGGTTCAACAGCATAAAAATCTTGGAAAAAAATACTAGTTTTGTCCTTTTTTTTTCCTTGAAGTGTGGTGTTCCCTTTCAAGAGGAAGATGTGATTATCCTTAATGGTAATAAAGAAGATGTGGAAGTATTGAAGAAAAGAATGGAGGATAGAAGACTTAAAAGTAAATTAGAAAAGGTAATCTTTTTATACATTGTTTAAAAAAAAAATTCTTGTCTGTAATGCAATCTACTCTTAGATCACATAGCTTTTTCTGCTAATCTTCATGCAGACTGGAGGATTTACTCAGTAAGCTCTGTTGTACTTCAGTGCTACTTTTAAAAGTAATGAGATTGCATATTTTGCTAATAGCATATTGAAGTTGTATGAACTGAAACTGTCTTGACTAACAGGCAGCGGATAGTGCTCTGAAAATCACAGGATTTAATGCTATGGGTAAAATGGACAGTGTGCCAGCTATACTTCAGGTTTTTCTTGAAACAAACACCTTGTATTAGTTAATTCTAGTAATGAGCAAAATCATCTCTGTATTTCATATGGTAGTTCCTGTTTTATTGTGATGGTAGGTTATTAGTTTTTTGATCTCCGAATATCCTCTACTGGCCACAGTCAGAAACACAATGCTGGAATACGTAGATTCCTGCTCTGATTCTGTAAGACTACTGTTTGGAAATTTTGTCATGTTCTGTGGTTCTTACAGTCCTGAGTGATTACTAGCGATGCTGATTCCCACCATACTGTTGAGGTCTTTGCGTTTCTTTTTTTTTCTTTTTTTTTTTTTTAATCTGATCAGGCAAAATGCCATGGGAATAAAGTCATTGCAGCTCTGCTATATACACTACTGTATGCTACTACTCTGTGAAGTAGTAGTTGTTCTGTGGTACTGTACTGTCAAATGACAGTTCTGCACGTGGGACTTTTTTCAACATTGCTATTTTTTTCTGAACTGGCATTGCTGTTCTGGAGGATGACAAAGCAAGCAAAAACTTTAGTGTTGACTCAGTCCAGAGTGCAGACAGATTTAGTTGAATCTCAAGAGCATGAATCATCATTGTCTGACACTTTCAGCAACTGAGACTTTAGATGGAAGTTGTTCATCTCACCCCTATTACTGTGCTTGATTTTGTCTGCCTGTAGGATTAGATGGCATACAAATGTTTTCCTAGATTGTTTTGAAACGAATACTAGTTTACTTACCAGCAAGCATATGATTCCTTCTCATTGTACGGTCTTTATTCATCTGCACCAATACAGCATCACTGGGCCTGGCTAATAAAAGAGAAGGATGGTTACCCATAGAAATCCTACTGTTCTGTTTCCTCTTTGTTCATAGCCTCTGCACGTGGTGTCCTATAGCTTCTGGCGTAAGAGCAATACTGTAAACCTTACGCTGTCTCTTCAGATGTTTTTTTTTCTTTTTTTTTTTACAGTACTTTGTAATTAAATATTTGAAAGAATTTTAAAGATAATTTGATGATAGAACATTGCAGATCTCAGTAGATGAGTAATCAACCCCAAAAATAGTTGTTGTTTGCACTCGGTTTTCATTAGGAAAGTGGCCCTAACAAAGCACTTATAGCTTTGGTTCCAATAACTTCGAATAGTCTGAAAGCTGGTGCCGTCCCCAGCTTCTGCGCAATAAAGAAGAAGTACCTGAGTGTGCTGAGCACTTCTATCTCTTATGGTGTCAGCACAGTCACTCGTGGTGGCAGATGAAAGGAGAACATGCTTTGTTTGGTCTTTGGGCTCTATATGCCGTAGGTGAATATGCAAATATTTTTTGTTTGTTTAGTGGAGACTTATATTACAGGCAGGCACAGTATTTGCAAGTCTCTCAGCAGGCCTCTTGCGTTTCATCCTCAAGTTCTGGTGGTTTTTTTGCAATACTGCCTTGCCTTGCTGCACCAGCTGATCTTTTACAGCTAGAACCAGTCTTCTCTGCTGTCACTGGCACCATTCGCTCTAATCTGAGATCTGTGAGCTCCAGCCCCAGCATCAGAAAACAGTTTCTAGTTTGGGGTCTGTTGGCACTGCTGTTCAATCCTCTTCCTCAGTTCCTTGTTTCAGCTAGGGGAGCAGTCTAAGTGGACCTACTGTATTTGGAGCCGGAAGCACAAACTCCTTTTCTTTATACCCATCAGGCAAAACATAAGGAAGATGCAGCTAGCATTAGTATAAAAAATTATTCAAACTCAATTATGGCATATGTGCCCATGATGAAATATGTATAATATATATTCATTATGTATAATATATATATAATCATAGACTCATAGAATCATTAAGGTTGGAAAAGACCTCTAAGATCATCGAGTCCAACCATTAACCCAACACCACCATGCCCACTAAACCATGTCCCTAAGTCCATATGTATACATATATTTACAAACATCTCTTAGCTCAAATGCCATATACTGGGAGGTGATCTTTCTTTGTAAATCCATCCATAATAACAAAGGTGGAAGCACCCTAAAAAGAGGTTTTTCATGTACCAGGAGAGCCAAGTTTGCTTTTAGAATAGTAACCCTCTGCCACCACCTTCTGGCTAAGCTTTGCAGCAACATGTGGTATGGCATTTTTTTTCCTCAAGCATTAATCATATGCTTGACAGCATGGGTTCTCCTAATTTTTATCACACATTTAAATATATTTATTTTCTTTGAGTTTGTGTAGCTTTCTTGAAATACGTACACCATTCTGAATGTATACAGAGTCATCTTTTGAGAAAATAACGCCAATGACTGTTTTAATACATCTTTCTTTTTCAGCTTGGCATTTATATAATCAAAGCCAGTAATGGGATTCTTGTTGCTGTTGTTTGGTTTTTTGTGTTTTTTAATCTGGACAAACATAAATTAACTTGGAAAATCTGGTCCGCAGATGCTTTTAAAAAATTTAGATTAACTATTTGCATCTTTTCTTCCCAAGCAATCTTGCAACAAAGGGCCCAGTTATTGGAAGTTACCCAGGAGGGATTCTTTTATTAACTAAATAAAATTAAGTGGATATGAGATGCAAGATTATTCTGAAATTTTTATTGAAAAACGTCTTTATTGATAACAGTTAACTGTGTCCTGCTTAATGTCGTGCAATTTACTGTCCTGCCATGTGGGTTCAGAATATCAGATTACCGTAATGATAATAACACACAGACCCTCTGCAAAGTATACAAACCAAAATACTGTATCCAGACAGTTTAGTTTTGGCCTGCGCGATTTTCTTTAAGGTGCCTTCAAGGTTGCCAAGGTTGTTATTTTTCGATATAGAAATAATACCAAAAGTGTGGAAAGTATTGTGAAAGGAAGAGTTCCACTGTGTAAAACATAAAAATGTACTAAATGGAATTGTGTGTCTATCAAATGCAAGTTGGGAATTGTATGTCCTTTCAGTACATTACCAGATTTCTGCTTGTGTTGTTTCAGAAATCAAAGAAGTGTAAGTCAGCAGAATCAGCTTCTCAGCAAGATACCGCTGAAGGTAATGTCACAGCTACAAATTCTATGTAGCCTTCTGAGTCATGAAGCAGATTCATGATTTCTCTTTTTTTTTTCTTTCATAGATTCTCCAGGTCCATCAAAGACTAAGAATGGAAGGGATTGTGTCAATTCCAGTTCTGGGGAAAAGAGGCAGATTATCTTCACCAAAAGTTCAGGTTGGTGTTTATTCTTTAATCTAAATGTGAAAAATGTGAACAAAAAGTTCTGCTTTGAAAAATATGGTAGGAGAGAGCCTTCTCTGGCTGTTTTGTACCAGTTTTCAGAAGCTACCCTCTCACTTTCTTTTTTTTAATCTTTCTCAGTAATAAAAGGTCAACTCCTGTCTTCAAAGGAGCCATAGTGTCATGGCTAACTTTTTCAAAGAACCGCCTGTTTCAAAAGTGTGTCCTAAAAGGCTGCCTTTCCGAGCTGGAGTTGGAAGTTGCCTCGTGAACATGTACAAAGCTCCTTGTTTAATAAAAACTGTAGTCAATTTAACTTTTTCTTAAAACAGAGCTTTGTTTTACAATCTGTAAAATCTACAAAACTGATTCTGCAGAAAGTGTGCAAGAGCTTCTGTTTATCCATTTTTCCTTATTCTGCCCAGTTTGCCTTTGTCCCATCTGCTATCCATCATCCTATACTTTGAGTAAATAGAGTAGGGACTGACTTCTTGTTTCACTTTCACAAAATACCTAAAACAACAGGGTCTCTACTCACGCTTGTGACTGGCAAGTGCTGTAGTGATGCAAATAACTAATAAAAATAATAAACACTTTTCACCATATTGCATTTTTTTTCACTGAGAAACAAGCCAGATTTGCTTGTTTATGTCATTCCAATATTGCTATGCTTTAAGTTGGTGGGAGCCAACTTGACTGAATGAGATTAGAGACTCTTATTCACGCAGTGATATAGTCGAGGGTTTGGTCTATCTGTTTTATTGGCTAGGAGGTAGTGTGAGGAGAATTAGTAGTTGTTTTCCTGAAGTACAAGTGGTCAAAAAATCTGTTACGGCATTTTATTTCAATGAAGTGTATTAAAATGTCCCAAGCTGATGACTTGACTTGTAGTCCTCCATTTTAGCTGCTAATTTGCTGTGTGTCGCTGGGAGCAGTGGACTATAACCTCAGGAGGTACTGATGTACCTACAGTAGTCATGCGGCTGTGAGTAAACTTGGCAGTCCTTTAGTCCAAAGGATGGTGCCCTCACTTTATGTAATACGTGTTATGTTATTTAATGTCTCCAGTTCATACTGATGTTTTCATACAGAACTATAAGAATGGGTACATTTTTAAAGTCAGTCTGAGGTTTCTGTGTGAAGTATTCAATTGTGTACATTACAGCCACAGAAAAAGTCAATATAATTTGTTTGAAGAATCTGAGAATAGTTAAATGATGAACTGTAGATAAACTACATGAGAAGCTGGGAGAATTTCCATCAGAAATAACTTACCTGCCCTCTACTGTCTGTTTTTATAAAGGGTAGACTTCTAAAAATATTTCATTCCAGATGATTATAATTGCACTTGGATGTTTAGGGACCTAGTAATTCTAATAATGTTTGATGTATTTTTCTTTTCCAAGAGCGTAAAAGAAAAAATAAGGCTTTTGAAATGTCAGGTCATTGATTTATGTTTCTGGCAGCAGTTATATTGACCAGCAAGAGATTAAGAGGAGAGAGGGAAAATAAAGGAAAATCCATGGATTGAGGAATGCCAGTAGCATAGAAATTAATTTGTGAACATGGCACCCTAAGGTTTCTGGACTTGCAGCATACATACTCATTCTTTCAAACCCAGTGTTTGGTAATTCTTTCCAGACAACTATTGGTGGCATTAAAAGCAGCATTCTCCAAATATAAAAAGGGTCTGATCTGTGCTAATTTAGGATTGCACATATAATTCCTATGACTACACGCAGAAGTCAGTTAAATGCATTTTCAGACAGGCTCCCTACTAGCTATTTACATGCCATTGTGCCTAAGTTAAACTAAATATGTAGACTTTCTGTAGACTTCTATGTATTCATTTCTTTGCACAAGAGACTTGGCACATGCTTTTTAAAATACTGTCCTTCAACTTTGGAGAAGATTAAATAGTTGTTAAGAAAGAGAAGGGGTGTTTCTTGTAGCAGTAGATACAATACCCTGAGAGAGATGGTATCAGAAACAGAGGGATGGGCATTTTCCTATCCCAAATATAAAATGATGCAGACCATTGTTACTGTTCATAAATGACTTTGCAAAGAATAAAGGGAGGAGATAGATTCCCTGGGGACAGTATGTCACAAGTTTAGCTTTTGTCATTTGATAGCTAATTTCTAAACAATACTTCAGGGTGGTGGAATACTTTCATGTTTGTTTCTTAAGACTAGAGTTCAGAGCCATTTTTCACTTAGAGGAATAAATGTTGTCAATACTGAATTACAGTGCAAGGGATTTACACAAGTAGGAAAGAATTCCTCTCTCTCCAAGATTTCTAAATGCATTTTGATCATAAATTCTAAAAGCTAGGAATGTGTTTGCTGTTAGGAACGTGTTTGCTGTTGAGTACAATTATGGGTTGTATTTGCGATAGCCCTGAAAAAATGTATATGCTTCACCTCTGTACACATTATTTTTTAAATACTTTTTTCTGTCTTTATTTAAATACTTTTATCAATTGTAAGCTATTATGCATGCTTCAGTCTATTCCTTTTTCTCTATCAGATAATGGAAATTCATCTGTACCAGGAAAAGTCAATAAGGCTTCTTCTGCTACTGCGAAGAGATCCATTGCAGACAGCGAGGAGAAATCTGAGGCATACAAATCTATTTTTACATCACACAGCTCAGCAAAACGTTCAAAGGAAGAGTGTTCCAATTGGATTACTCACACAGCATACTATTTCTGAAACAATGATGAGCCTGATTGTAACATTCATTACTGCTTTCCTTCCCTAAGGCTTTTTCTGTACAACTCTGATACAGAACTTTTGTTGTAATCTGATGTTATCTGGGATTACTCAGTTTGTAAGTTGTTTATAAACTTGTGAATAACGAATGAACTTGTGTTAGTTGCAACTTCTGTTAAATAAGAAATAGATCACCAGAATCCATGTTGTATCAGCATACCTTATTCTAAAATGATGGATTATTTGCACGAAATTTTTTCTTTTCTTCTCCCAGTTGGATGCTGTCATTCTTAGTCACACTAGCTGGTGTCCTCAGTAGGAGTGAGGGTAGAAGGATCTGCCTATTGCCCTCTTCTATTGATATTTGCCACAACTGTAATTATAGTTTTCAAGGTATTAGTACAGAAATTCAAATTTTTTTAAACTTTCTGACAGTAAAAAGAGCAATAATGCTTTTCTTTTGTACTAGCTAACTGGGCCCTCAGTAGAACTAGTATGCGTTTCTTAAAGGTTCTGTAGGTATTTTCAAGTAATTTACCTTTTGATGGAATATATGAAAGCATAGTCATGAAAATGTTTGTACAACAGTCCTCTTGTACATATTGTTGTAGCCTGTTTTTAATAACAGAGTAACACTTGTAAACACTTTAATTACACTTGTAAACCATTATCTATAAAGATGAGCCTGTAATAGTAAGGCTGCTTTTTCCCAAAAAGGTTTTGGGGGTTTTCTTTGTGGGTGTGTGTTTTAAAGTTAGAAGTATCAGGTCTGAGCTTCCTTTCTTTTGTCAGAGGATCAGAATACAGTGGAACAAAAGTATGAGTTTCCTTACTTTTCTGCTGAAACAGTAAGGTTCTGTGTACATCTCTCAGGAGCCATTTTGAATTCAGCAGCTTACATGAAAATACGAGCATTTGCACAGGGTGAGGGAAAAACAGTGGTGACGTCATAGGAGCAGGCAGATCTTAACTGGCTTTTTAGGGAAAAATGAGTGGGCACCAGTGTCATGCAAGTCAAACCCATTGGTGGCTGGTGGAGGGAACCCTGCAAGGCTGGAGTTAGCTTCCGAGAACGTTTCTCTTTCACTTTACAGGCAATTGAAATGTGCTGCTTTCACAACATCTGTAGTACGCATTGGTTTATTTTCTGACATAAAATTCTTAACAGCAAACAACTGTTTGACTGTTAATTGCTTGTTACAGAAAGATGCTAAGGATAGTATATCACTCAGGTTTGCTTTTATATTTATGCTTTTTATCCTTGTGACGTTGATTTAAATAAAACATGCTCTTGTCATATGACCATAACACTTCATGTTCAGTTGAACAGATATACAAGTGCTTATTTTGTCAGTGTGAGAACAGAATAACTTTTTATGGGCTTTCCTTTGGCCCTTTTATTCTTAGCTTTTTTCCAAGCACAGGAATCCTTTTAAAATGTTAATGTTCCATAGCAGTGATTTAGTGGCTGAATATTTGAATCCAATAATATCTACATGAAATGACCAGAGGGAGGGACGGAAGCTTTTCACCTTCCTCTCTTCCTCTTTTAAAATTAAAATATGCTTTTATAATCTTGGCACAAACTAACCAGAATAGAAATGCAGAAAGTAAGAGGCTTTTAAAACCACTGCGTGATGTTACATTGTTACTTTTGTGTGTGGAAATGATTAATTATCCTCATAATTTATTTTTTTAAAAGTGTCCCCATTTATAATTGGCAATAGTTAATAGTTAATTGGGAATTCAAATGCTGTGTTTATATTTGTGTAGGTGGTCTCCATGATTCAAGCATGTTGAATGAAACTGCTAGGATTTTGTTATTATTTTGATAGGTATAATTAAAAATTGGCTTGTTGTAGAATTTATATGGTGGTAAGCATTTTTGTTTTCCAAAGATGTGAATGCATATATACATCACATCAAACAGTTTGAGGTTTACTTTAGCTTCCAGGAATCATTCAGCCACATTTTGTATGCATGTCTAGTAATCAGCTTTGTTCTCCCTGTTCTGTATTCTTTTCTTCTTCATTATTATCCTTTACTATTTGTTAGTTACAGATAATGAAATTACCGTACTAAAAGATATACTATAGTAGGCCCTTTATTTGCAGTCTAATTCTGTTTTGACAATACATGTTAAAGTCCTGTTAGTGTTTTATAGGAGTGTATTTTTCTTCTGTTTAAATCAGTTATAAATCCTAAGGGGAATTAACTTAATGCTTTTGATTTAGCTATTACTTTGCTAAAGAATATGAGAAAACATGATACGCAGTTTTGCTTCCGTTTTCTTGATATGTTAGGCAAAGTCCAGCCTGCTGACTTGGTAACAGGCTTTCCTGCTCATTGAGATATAATAGTGACTTCTTTTTTTCAATCTGACCTGCTCATCTATTAAAATAAGTTCATGACTACCATGATTTGGTTAATGTACTGATTCTTCCTGTACACTTGGGTTTATTATCTGGAATTGATGGTTCATGCTATGCCACTTTGTTAGGATTTTGTTTGGTAGTTCACCATCCTGACTTTGTGGATGGAGTTCTTAAAATGTTTATGGTTTATAGAAGTGTTGTCAGTGACTGATGAGGTCTTTTCCTTCCCTTTACAAAAAACAGCTGTGAAGGAATGTGATATATTGTTGGCATGTGATGCAATTCATCGCCACAATTGACTTTTGTTAATGTAAAATAGAGGAGCAAAAAACTGACACTTCTGTTGGCAGGCTGGGTTAGGCAGTTGAGGCTGGAACGTTGACTTGGCAAGTTTTAATAGATTCAAGCGAATAGTTGCTGGAGGATGTTTGCTTTGTTGTGGTTTGCTTTTTGTGGGGGAGGGCAATTTAATTTTCTTTTAATGTAGGTGAATTTGAATGTTGGTGAAAGTTGAAGACTGCAGAAGTCTTAGAATCTGAAACCTATATTTTTTGAGATGCCACATAAGTCTCCCACAGCATTGCATCCATGTGTCTCTGTTCTGGGGAGTTCACAGAACAGTTAGTTCTGTTTTCATGATGTTCAAGCCTTGGCCTCTCTTCTGAAGAGCTTGAAAAGTATCCAATTAGTGTCAGTTGTATAATAGGGGGATTTTTTTGTGATGTGGGACCCGCCCACTGGGAACTGGACTGAAATTCAACTACTTCCTTCACATAGCCCAATAATCAAATGGTGGTCGTGAAACCTGGCCCAGATATGCATTAGTGAAAAGGGACTGTAAAGCTATGTATTCCTTATTTACAGTCCTGTGAACGGTCTGTCTTTCTGCACACTTGCAGAGCATTCAGTCCTTTCGATGCTGGTACCTCTAAAACTGAAAACTGGAGGGTGTTCACACATTCAGACTCAGCAAAGATCAGCCTGGTATCAGTGTTCGATACTGCAGCTTAACTCCCTAGTCATTCCAAATCGGATGTGATATTTTGTGCCATTTCGCAGGATACCCAAAAGCTGCCTTTTCCCCTTGTCCCCGACGATTCCTAACAGCATTGCCGGCAGCCTCAGGCGCTGTGGAGCAGCTATGGTGCCCTACTGCAGCCGATAAACCAGCTTGTGCTCGCCTGTGGCACGTGCTGATCTGCGGAGAGAACCAGAGGCGCCGACACTGTGGCTTTTTGTCTTTGTGGAGGAGAGTGAACTTGCACGCCTTGAACCTTGCACGCCTAACATTCTGGAGTTGACAAAGGTGGGCTTGGGGTGGATTGCTCTTTCCTGGCTCCTGCACACTGCAGTAAAAGGTGACTTTCCTTCTTTACTCCCTAACCTCTAGTATCTCCATTCTTTGCGCATCTCCTGACCTCACCATACTGCCGGTACCGCCGGCTCCTTCCCATGTGTTTTCACTAGCAGTTAGGCTGGAGGTAGGTGCTGATCAGCCTGCTGGCAGGTGGTGGCCGAGCTCTGCAGCCTGTCCCCTCTGTAAGGGCATTGCTGTTGGAGGTCTTGTCCCTCCAGCCATCTTTTTCCTCAAGACCTCTAAGAACGGCATGTCTTCAGGGCTTTTATATCTCTCTGAATCTTAGTTGAAATTAAACATTGGTTTGTAATGTTGCTGATACAAGTGAGGGTGTAGCAGCTCTGAATCGCTAGAAAATTAGACTAAAATCCTTCAGACAAAAAGCAGCACCTCCAACAGCCATCGGGAAGGCAGAGTTGAAGAGGAAGAACACGTAGTATCTGTTCTGGAAAGACTGGAATTTAGTGACATCCTGCTGATAAAACTGTAGTTAGTGAATAGTAAGCTTCAAGGGACAGAGTTCATTCCGTAAGGATATGTTAAATTTTATTTCCCTTGACTATTTTTTTAGAAGTGGTCTTCTAAAGAGAACTATCTTCTCTCTAATGGGAATAAAGTCTGAGAGGCATACAGTGGGAAAATGTGTGTGGTTTGCTAAGATGGTTGGGAGATTTTGTTGGAATCTCGGAACCTCTCTGCTTCAGTCTCTGACTTCCATGCCATGAGATCATCACATGCCTGTCAAATTGACAAAAAAAAGCTTAAAGTTCCCTTTAACACATGATGCTTGTTAGATTAAAATATTTCTTATTAATGTCCTATTCTTAGCTAAACTGAACGAACACAATTGTCTTTAAGTGTCCTGTCTTGCTTGCTCCACAGCCTAGACGCCAGTTGCTGTTGGTATATTTTGCTCAAGATTCAGAACTGCGGTGGCCCTGCCAAATAGTTTCTTAGTTGCATTTAAAAATAAAAGGGCTGTTTATACATTACAATCCACAGAGGGTCTGAAATCAGTATGTCCTAAGATGAATACAAATCATAGACAAAAAGTGTTTTGTTGGAAGTCTTCACAAATATGGAACTGATTACTGCTAGACAGCGCAGATTCCCTTCTGTAAGATGGAACTGATATAATTCCTTCCTGACAGCTAGAAATTATAATTGAGTTGGGTCTTTTCTGTGTTTTAAACTTTACCAACTTTCAAAATGAGCAAGAGGGATGGAATCCTAATCCATCTGCAATTGATGGGAATTCTGCCTGTAAGCCAGAATTTTAATCTAAATATCCATCCACCTGCCCAGTTACTGTGGAGGTACTGCTAACAATTTCATAGCTGTGGTTTCGTCAAGCGTTTAACTTCATGTGGATTAAAATATCTCTTACAGGTCAGTGACAGAATTCAATTTGCAAATTGACCACAGATCTTTTTTGGGGAAGAACCAATTTCACTATGACATTGAAT